CATCCACACTGCAAAAAAGTGTACCGACTTCATAAGCCAGACCACTATCACCCACACTGCATCATGCCCCCATGATGTCTATGGCAAGTGGGTCATAAAATCTATTGTGACGTGCTCCCATTTCCACTCAGCCACATCCAAAGGCTGGAGCAACTCTACTAGTCTCTGGCGCTAAGCCTTGACTTGCTGACACATGAGACATCGATTAACAAAATCTCCAACGTGCCTTTTTATCCCACTCTAGTAGTACTGTCGACGAAGATCATGATACATCTTCATACCACTGGGATGTATAGCAAATGGGAGCAATGAAACTTCCTAAGGATCTCCTCTCTCATATCCATCGACTGGAGAACCATAACCTTTCCCTTGAACCAAAGACTACCATCCGCATGAATGGCCCAACCCTCGTCACCTGTATCCGACCATACCCAATCCCTGATAGACAATATCTCTGTGTTTTGCCCTTGGAATGCGATCACCCTGCTCAATAGGGAAAGCGTAGCTACCAAACTCTCTAAAGTGCCCTGAGCCTGACTCATGTAATGTAGCTCGAACAGTCCCACATTCTCGAGCATCCGCCACTCACGGGAAGCCATATTAGCCAAGACTCCTCGTGACTTCTGCCTAAGGACATCAACCACCATGTTTGCCTCACCAGAATGATAATGCAAAGTAAAATTATAATCCTCTAAATACTCTATCCATCTACGTTACCTCATGTTGAGGTCCCGCTACGTAAAAATGTACTTCAGACTCTTGTGGTTCGAAAATACCTCAAACTGCTCACTATACAAATAGTGGCACCAAGCCTTCAAGGCAAAGACAATGACCGCCAACTCCATGTAATGCATGGGGTAGTTCTGCTCATGGCTTTTCAACTATTGAGAACCATAAGCCACCACCCTCCTGGACTGCATCAAGACACACCCATGTCCATCCTTGGAGGCATCACAATACACTGTATACCTCTATCTTCTCTCCGAAACTACATGTATAGAGTTGAAGTAAATCTACTCTTCAACTCTTAGAATGCCTTCTCACACAAGTCATCTCACTGAAATTAGACCTCTTTACAGGTCAATCTAGTCATAGGTCCAACTAGTTGAGATAAGTCTTCAATGAACCTCCTATAATACCCCGCCAATCCCAAGAAACTATGTTTCTTGAATATTGACTTCGACCTCTCCCAACTCATGACTGTCTCAATCTTCTCCAGTTCTACGGATACACTCGAAGCCGACACCTTGTTTTCCAAAACTTCATCTCAGTCAATTAAAATTTACACTTGCTGAACTTAACGTACAATTGATGGTCTCTCAAGGTTTGGAGAACAACCCTCAACTGACACTTATGCTCCTCCTCACGCTTCATGTGACCCTGTTGATGACATATATAACAAGTCATTTGACCTGCCTGATAAGAGGTTCTAAATTTTTCCCACCTTGGGAGGATCAACCTTGGCCTTAGCCTTGGCCTTGATAGCCGCGTTCTTGTACCTGATGTCCCTGTGGGGTAGAAGTCTTTTACTTCTTCCTCGAACTGGAAAAAAAGGATTTGCCCTCCTTCTTCTTTTCCTTAGCACCCGTCACCCGGATGCTCCTTGCATCATCTACTTTTCTCTCAATGGTCATAGCTGTCTCAACCTTCGATTCCAAATCTTGTAGGCGATGACCTACAATTTTTCCTCGAATGGACACCTTAAATCATCCTCAAACCTCCTCACTTTGGTCAATTCTTTGACCACATAGTCATTGGCAAAATAGGCTAACTTGGTGCACTTAGTCACATATTCCATCACAGTTATAGTCCTTTACTTCAATTCCAAGAACTCCATGACATTCGTTTGTCAAACAGTCGATGAGAAGTATATGTCAATGAAGAGCTCTTGGAACTCTCCCGATGTCATTGCCTCAAGGTCCTTCAAGGCCTTTGCCCAATCCCACCATAGACGGGTCTCTCCTTCTAGCTAGAATGTAGTTAGCCTAATCTTAGTGGAATTGGAAGTGATTTTCATAGCCTTTAGGATCTTGTCAACTTGTTGGAACCAATGACCGGCCACCATCGGATCCGTCCCTCCCATCAAAGTCGAAAGCTTGTGTGTCTTGAATTTTTGGAGGTTACTTGAGCCTCCTTGGCCCATATTGGAACTAGCTTGTGCGAAGGTAGCCGTCATACTGCCTATAGCCTCCATAAAAGCTTGTGGGTCAAAGGCCGATGGCGGTTGGTTGTTGTTTCGCCTACCACATCGACCGTTCCGTTGTCCTCTCTATCTATTTGCCATCTATACACAAATCAAATAGCAATAAAGTACTAACTTAGTATCTCAAAGTAGGGATCAAAGTTGAAACATTGAGATTTATCTCTTGTCTCACTAATAGAGCATGTGCCTCTCACTAGTAGACATCTACACCATAAATCGTCTCATTCCTTCTTTTTCTAACCCCTAAGGTTATATTCTCTAACCCTAGTCTCCCTTTTCCATACAAATTTAATCATGCATATTGTTCACATAACATATAAAATATAACATGTAGCATTTAAATTACATAACATGTAATGCACAATGGGTGCAATGGTATAAACCCCTGCCTCTCAAACCCTAGGTAAATTGAGAACCTAGGCTCTGATACTAAGCTGTGACACTCTTAAAATCGGGGGTCCTTTGTCAATCGTTGATCACCCATCAACCCGCAAAAATATCAGTGAATGTCGCACAACCCGAAATCATGTCAATAGCATTCCCTTAACTGGGATAATAACCTATACGGATAACTTGTGTACATTTCATCATTGACCAATCTATGGTCCAACACCCATCTATTTGTAATCATCATTACCCCATGTACCTCATTTGAGTAAAGGGAGTCGACGCTCGAAGGCTTAGCAAAAGCATTTCAAATTTTAGAATTTTGAAGAAAATCAATCAGTAAGAATGTTCAAAGTCCAACCGGTAGAAGTGTTCATTGGACTTTATCTTTCACAAACTGAGGGGAAACCTACCAGCAGAAGAAGTCCATGTTCTACAGATAGAAACACCTTCTGGAATTCTTCTACTGGTAGGAGAACCTACTAGAAATGTTCTACCGGTAGAAGAACTTAACGTTCTACCAGTAGGTCTTCTTAGTTCTTTCCCGATTCGATCATTTTTCAACCCCAATTCATTCCAACATTTATAACGCCAACCCAAACTCATAAAACATGAAAATTTGCATTAAACATAGTTCATACGAGTTTGATTATAATCAATTTCATACAATTACATGTCCAAAACTAAATTTCACAATAGTTTTATAAAAAATAATTTAAAAGCTATATCTCGGCTTTTCTTCATTATTGAGGGCCCAAATGAAAAGCCAACCACCGGCGTATATCCTGCACCTAAAATATTATCTCAATAAAGGGTGGGTCACGCTCAATAGGGTATCTCTTAAAGAGACTACTCGTTCACCTAGATGCATATGAAATGTTCACATGCAATTCATAAGCAACAATCACTCAATTCAAGAATATGAAATTCATAATGGAATTTCCCATACTATACCATGTTATAAGATGAGACTCACACATGCAACTCAACCTGAACCTTCACCTCTTCCCATAACACATGCAATGTCATACGTATGTATCCGGACATTCCACGTCCTCGTCATTGATGTTATGCATTCTTTGGGTGCGTATTTATAAACTTCCACCAATGGTCATCCAACCAACACGACATCTATGGACTTCCCCAAACAGCTCTGCGAACGCCGACACACTTTAGGGACTTTTATACCAACAGAGTGCATATCCAATTCACCAGGTCTTGCACCCGAGGAACAGTTTAGCCCCTTCTTGTTAACCCCGACCTAATTTATAATGCAACTCGTGCGATTCAGTCAGACCTTGATCCCACTTTCTCGAGCTCACGTATCATTCACCAAGAGTGGTGTTTGATCACAACTATGCACACACATCCACACTCATGTCTAATGCCAATGAATGTAATTTCTTCTGTGCATATGCAATGTAATGTGCAATTGCAATTCTAATATCATGTTCAATATATTATGAGCACCATATGAACATAATCACTTTTCAACATTTTTCATAGTCAATTACATCATAAGTATATAATCACCATAAACCACCTCAATGTCAATATGTCATAGTGCATATATCAACATTTTTACCCAACATCAATTTCTAAGCATGTTATAACTTAATCTATGCAAATAACACACTTAATTCACACAAGCATAATATAAACACATAGCATGCCCAAATCAACCCATTCTCAAGAAATCATAACCATGTAATTTCTAATTACCCAATTCATTGTAGAATTGATTTTAACCATTTTCCTCATTTCAAATATCATAAGCAAGTGCTATACATGAGATTACATCTCTAACACCCTATTCATTTCATATATCAACCCTAGGTTGGAAATAAACATAATTAAGAAAGGAGCTCTATCTCTTAAAGTGTAAAACACTTGGTAGAAGTCTTCAAGAACCCAAATCAAACTCTAACATTTGATTTTCCCAAATTCCCTTTTTTGAAGTTCGTCAAAATCCGTCCTTTTTGTTTTGTAGCCCTTGATGAGTAAAACACTTTTTGTTCTAGGCCCAAGATGATTTAACCAAGATTTGACAAATTTTGAAATTCAAACAAGTAATATATTCTAAAATAAACGAAATATAAAAATTTTCTTATAAAACTACTAGTAGTAAATATTTAATGCATAAATATAATTTGAAAATCAAATTACTTTCCAAAAAAAAAAAAAACGCATGAATCAAGGTGCATTAAAGAGGCCTGCACTTGGGCTTGTATGCGCAAGTGTACCATTATATCCAAGCCCACAATTGCTAAAGCCGTGTAGTGCAATAGTTTATAAACTGATTTTTTTTTGTTCTCTAATTGATGTGGAATAGGAGCAAATTAGAGAGATGGCTATAAAAGTGTCCAACTCAAGAAGTTTTTTGGCTTTTGAAATACCACTATTAACTCAAGAACTGCAACAATAATATCCAAACATTTCATCATCAAGTTAGCATTGTCATGTCATGTCACCGTCCAATAACAAATGAAGAAGTGGATAAGTGATTTCTACTAAATTCAATAATTACTTATCCATGTAATCTAGAATTCAGGCATCACAATCCTATTGATATTTATTTACAACCCTAAAAACAATGCATTACTCCATTTAGTATTCATTCATGTACAACCTTAACATGTGAACTACCAAACACATCAAAATTGTCTACATATTTACATCATTTGATGGCCACAAAATGGTTAGAGAACCGGTCAATCTGAGATTTGAGGATGTCTCCGATGGAAAATCGATGCCTTTCTGGCGAACTCAATCTTGCTGGCATCTCCTTCTTTATTGCAAGGTCTATTGGTCCCATCTCTTTCTTCATGGACTCAATGAACTCCATGTCAATGTCGCAGCCTGAAACATCTCTCACATAGAAAGCATTCACAGCCTTCTCTCCCCGTGTTGCTATGTCTGCTCTAACAACGGCAAGGCCATTTTCTCGTAGAACCCTAGTTATGTCTGAGAGCAACCCTACTCTATTGTTTGCACTTAGCTCTAACTTGACGCCCTACACAAACATAAATTCGAATGTTAGATGTATGAATGAAAAAAACCAGACTATTAACATATGTCCATTTCACATTGTCTCCTCAACTATCATTTTTCCTTATGTTTCATCTTCAACTGTTGTTATTATTTTTATATTTTGTCAATTATTAGCGTACATTACGAATTTGAATCAAGGTTGCCTTAACTTGCCCCCTTTTCTCTTGAATTATGTGATTTTTTTACATTGTTGCCAACAAATGGACATTTTTCGTTCAAAAAATAATAAATATTTGTTTTGGCATAGTTAAGGAAGTAATAACACGAGAAATTAAATAGTTCAAGGGAGAAGAAAAGATTGATATCATAATTAAGGGGATCAAAATATAATTTACTTCTTATATGTTTAGGACCTTATCATATGTTCATATTGACGACAACAAGCACAGGCTGGGGTTGAAATTCCCTCTACTATTCATAGTGCATGATTTAATATTGAATGAAATTGAGTGAATATAAAGAGAGAATTTAGATTCAAAATATAAAGTAAGCATTTTCTAAAATTTGTAAAAATGTTGAAACCACAATGTATTGCTATGCAACCACAAAGTCTATATAGTTTAGGGTATTCTTAAAAACAAAATGGATCAATTGAAAGTGTAATCCTTACCTCACAAACCCGGCGTTCTATGGCAGCCTCTAAGCATTTTACTACTCGCTCCTTCTCGCTTTCCGTTTTGAATGCATCACCGTCTACGTGGCGGATGAAGTACTCCTGTGATAAACATCAATTTAGTCCAGTTCAAAAAATAAATAAATCAATCAATCAATTTAGCCACATTACATTATAGTGTGCTCGATCACGTAGAAAAATAATTCCAATTTTTTCAGGACCAATTACACTTGCATCCCTTTAACTATACTCATCATTTCACATTGACCCTTAACCTATTTTCTTTCTCCATTTGCACCTTTAATTATTGGTTTAAGTTTTGCATTGCTTTAATCTTTATCTTTTCTCCAATTTTTTACTCAAAATAGTGCCAAAAATAGAATTTGAAAATGTTAGGAGGTGTTACAATTCCTCCTCAACGGGGCAAAATTCCATTTCTTTTTTTTTTTCCTAATTTACTGTGAAGAATTGGGCAAAAGCTAGCAAGTAAGACAATGTAAAATTCAAACTAACAGTTTAAGATAGTAGAGGGGGAAGTTTAAAACGAGATGCATAGTTTAGGGGGGTCTAAATATATTCTGTCCTTTTTTCATTAAAAAAAACAATTAGTGAGCATTAATTTCCTATTTGATTCCAAATCTAGGAGCTAATACGTACCTGAAATGCATAACCACCATGAGAATCCACAGAAGCATGAAAAATCTGGTACTGCATGTCAGTAAAAGTGCACACTGTATCAAACATTAGCTTTCTCCGATCCTTACACTGCACTGTAACAATCGAATAGCCCTTTTCCTCACAATTTTCTACTAAAACACTCGTCTTCCTTTCTTCATCACCACCCTCCAATTTCAATACCGCCAAGGCAGAGCTTCTGGGCTCATCGAAGTCCCGAACAGAAAGCAAGAGCTGATGAAGACGGCGTTCCACCGTGGTCGTGGTGCCTTCGCCCTCGGGAAGGCCAGCGGTCTTTACTTCTTGCTGGTTGGAGTTGTTTTCGGAGGACTTAGTGGTGTTGGTGGCCCGGAGGACAGTGGTGAGGTGGTCTTCGATGGTGGCAAGGCGGTGGTCATCGATTCGGGTATCGGAAGATTGGTCGGAAATGTAGGCGACACAAGCTAAACGAGCATTGTGGCTCCATGCATGTGCTTCGACGATGTTGCAATGGAGTTCAGCTAGGGCAGCTGAGATCTCTGAAAATAGACCGGGCCTGTCTGTTCCGGTCAGTTCAATCGCTGTGGGTTCTGAAGGAGGGTCAGATTCAAGCAATTGACTGGTTTGGGTCTTCGCTTTTAGTGAGGTCCCCTTGTTTGCTCCTATGGCCTGCAATATTCTATCACTTGTTAGGGTTGCATGAACTATAAAATACATGCAGGATATATAGGATTCGTATATGTATATATGTGAATCGTTATTTAGACCTAATTAGTGCATAATTTGTTGATTTAATTTATTAAAATTATTAGATTAATTATAAATTTCAATAAATATTAGAACAGATGGACAATCCAATGTTTATAAGTGAACAAGTTTGATCAATAAACCAGGTTCAAATAGAATTGCTCATATGTGTATATGTGCGTTTATAAGTCCACATGCTTTTTGAAATATTAATTCGTTAGAGATAACTTAAGTTTCTATTGACTCAACATCTCTCCTCAGCAGACTATACAGGTAAAGGAGATATAGAATTTACAGGTGGATAGGGCACAACTCAATAGATCAGTGAAGAATGAAAAAAAATAGGATGGTTTTCAAAAATTGATCCTAAATAACCCTATTTTATTTTAAACTCGTTAATTTAATGGCAACCTCACTTTTATTTTGTAATAACTTCAATATAATAGTGAACAATAACTATTCGGTAAGTCGATCCTACTTTCTTAAACATAGACGTAAAGTCTCATAGTACTGATAGGGAAAATGTTACTTAATTATATGTATTATCAAAATGTATGTATCCTTCTGTGAGAAATGGAATTACCTGCTGGATATTATTGATGACTCTTTGGTCTGTAATTTTGTTTCCACGCTCATCTTTAACATGAAATACTGCAAAAAATGCAGAAACCAGTCAATGTCATTGAATTTAACTACGTTGGTGGAATCTATAGCAAATAATTCAAGTTTATTTACTGAGCTTAATTGCACATTTCAATTATCAAATAGTGGAAGATAAGGAAGCGAATGTATACCATCCATAAACCATTCAGCGTCAGAAGATACATAGCCTTTTGAGATAGTAAGGTTCATATCTGTCAGCACTTGCACCACTTCCAAGAGTAGACCCTGCTTGTTTACACTATCGACCTGCATTGACCAAGATCAATTCTCTCGTAAGTTGGGTTGAAATGGGTATTGTCTTATTCCGTCTTAATGTCATGCTGGTTTTGCAGGTCATGTCTAATCTTGTCAGATTGTTAGCTTCTCTATCACACACAAACAGAGACACATACAGAAAATTGACAATACTATTACCTTTACCACAGTGCTATCTTCTAAGCTTTCATTGTCAATGAGAACTCTGCATCTGTTGGAAAACAAACATGGTAATTTCGTTACATGGTTTAGAACTTCTCCTTTACAACGCCAACACAAATCAATGGTCCAGCATCTAGGGTTTAACACATCACTTACGTTGGGCCGTTTATCCTTTCGGTAAGATTATCAAATTCAGGATCGAAGTAAGGCCAGCAAACTTTTTTCATGCTGCTAACTGCTGAATGTGCACAGAAAGAGAGTCAAAATCTCCAAGCTTCAAATGTAAAACATTATCATTCGCTTAAAATGGATGTTGCATAAAAATAAAAGGTGACCCAATGCACAAGGAACTCGGTGCTTCAGAATTTGGGGAGGTCAGATGTACGTTGGACAAAAAGAACCGCTATGACAATAACTCTTTTTTTTTTTTAACTAATCTAGCAGTACACGTTTCAAAATTAGACGGTAACAATTGCTTAAAGGAGATAGTAAATAAAATGGTCGAAATCTAAACCAAGTTTGAATTGAGTGCATCAGCCCTATTACACTCCTTAATTTTTCCCTCCATTTCAATGGAGAGAGAAAAATCAATACAATCATGCCAAGGGAAGAAACTGATGCATTGTGTGTGAAGCATGTACATTTTGAACATATTTTTTCACAAAACATTGTAAGAGTTTTCCATCTCCGATGCCGTTTGAACAAAATTAATTGGATTTATTAAACAAGACCCTCCAAATTTTGGGTTTCTAAGCAAAATTACTGGATGGAAGGCTAACAGAGTAACATTAGACAGCAAATACGCAGAGGATCATTAAAAGGAAAGCTTACCTATGAAAATGTTGTTGAATATAAACAAGAGGATCTCAAGTATACAGGCCCAAAGAAAGAGAAAGAACGCACAGATGTTTAGAGAGACAAGCCGAGCTTATGGCCAAACCAATACCTAGCTAGCTAGGGAGAGAGAAGAACGAAGATGTTTTCGATTCTCTCTCTCTTGAAGAACAAAGAAGAAAATCAAGGACAGCTTATCCTCTCGATCAATAAAAATATGTATGTGTATGTGTGTTGGGGGGGGGGGGGGGGGGGGGAGGGAGAGAGATAGAGATAGAGCTGTGATTGCTATTTTGGGGTGTGTGAATGAGAGCTTGCTTAACTTAAATAGAATGGAGAGGCATGGGTGGTGGAGAGGGGTTTGATGAAAAGTCAGTAGAGTGTCCAAGAGGGACAAGTACAAATTCAAATGGGATTTATCGGCCACGTTTGTATTGATTCAGTCACCTCATTCAAATCAATGCCTCTCTTTGTCCACATATATATGTCCCTCCTCTTTTGTCCTCCTAAACCGATGGAAACCACGGTGCAAATTCTCTCTCTCTCTCACACACACAAATTGATGGATGTGCTACGTAACAAACATGTTGGTGTGAGTAGGGTCCGTGATAGTTTGACATCAAATATCAATGATGAATAATGTCAATCTGATAAAAAAATAAATAATGTTAGTTTGAGTAAAAAAAATTGAATAAAAAAATAAAAAATCAAATAATATAATATTAATTTACTGAGCAGAATTTGAATTTTAAATTAATAAAAGTGAGCTTAAAAACACCACCATATTAGTATCATCACTTTATTTCTATTTTTGTCCCAATTTTTAATTAGTTAGTATATCAAATATAATATTTTATTTATTCTTCTAACTTTTCATTCTTCCAATTTTTTACCTTTTAATTTTTTCATCGTACTAGACAGGACATAACAGTATAATAATTTTTTTTTTTTTTTGGACATTTGGCTCCATCAAAGCAAATCATATCCTTATTATTACATTTTAATTTAATTTTAATGAATGGTAGACACTATGGATTATGTATAAAATATAAATGAAAGGTACACTTACATAAAATATAAATCAGTGCTGTAGAGATCTAATTTATATATTTTAATTAAGATTTTAATTTAATATTAAATTAATTATAAATTATAATATTAAATGAAACTTGGGACAGGATGAGTATACAGTAAAGTAGCAAAGCAAGATCTCACACGTGGCCTGATTTCAGGAGAGAAATGCTTGCGTAACAAAGTGTGCAATAGAAGATTCATTGTTCCAGATTACGAGGGGGAATGTTAAAGGACACGTGTCACGTCTATGATAGACTCATCGAGATAGCGGTGGGGATTGTCCGTCACTATCGCGGACCCCATATAATATTTGTGATTAAACAACGTGTTGAATCTGGTTTGCGTGTGCCGTCACGGCGTAAGACAACATATCCTAACCCCATGATTGATGTGCTGAGTCAGGAAACATTGGAGCTGTCACAAGAATTGATTGAGCGGCTGAGTCAGCATTTCGAAGCTTCATGGAACACGACCCCCGGACCATCGCAGAAGAAAAGAGACATTGTTTTGTCATTTGGCAAAATTACATCCGGTCCCTGCTTTGTCATACTTTAATCTTTACCTTTAGGATAAATTACATTTAGTCTCCTAATATTTGTCACATAATTATTTAAACATCTCATATTTGACATATTATACATAAACCCCATAAAATTAGTAAACGTGTAATACATAATCCCACAGTTGAATAAAATAATCTTCTGAATCATCATTTCACTGAAAACTTGATCGTAGGAATTGAATTGTAACATCGAAAATTCCTTCAAGTCGTGTACGAAAATACATTCATAAAAATAGTGTTTATTCCCACCAATTTTTTAGAAAGGTCTGTATTGAGAATTCCATAAATCTATTCTCAAAATACACTAAAACTTTTCAAACTTGTCTGCATATTGCACTGACGAAGATAAGACTCAATTACCTTAAAGAAATCAAATAATCAACTTCTAGTATTTTATTGGGAGAATGAAGAGAAAAAGAATAAGAGCAATTCTAATAAAAAAATATTATTGTTTACTAGTGGTTTTTCATAAAAGGTGCAATCATATGTAATGGTGTCTTTTGGTTCAAATGGTAATGAGCCAAGTCCAAGGGCCCAACTCCAAGAGGTCCAGCTAGTCATGCTCAAAGGAGTCTGCACCCGGACAAGCTCACAAAGGTCAATGAGCTACATTAGTAGGGAGCATGCAAGGGTCATCTAAGAGCTTATCACCTTGGAGTAAGGGTCACTAAGAGCCTCCCCCTCGCCGCCTTAGAAAGAGTCAACTTTCACCTCATCCTTTAACCGAGTCTCATGGAAAGCACCTTAATCACCTCGCACATTGAGAAGAAGTCACCAGCTCTACCAGAATAGTTTAGTTACTATTAAGTTGCCCCAATCTGTTAAGGGGCGACTATAAATTGTAAGCTCCACAAACACTTGGGGGGTAGATCACACTCTCACTTGAACACAACTCTCCTCTCCCTCTCAAAGCTTGTACTCCCTGCTCTCCAAGCACTCCTAAATTAATAAAGTACCAGACGACCCTAGCCATTCAGAGGTGGACGTAGGTCACATTGACCAAACCACTATAATTCTCGTCTTCTCTCTACTTTAATTACTATATTTATTACTCATACTTGACAGGTGGTGTGCAAATACATTTTGTGCATCATCAGTTTGGTGCCGTCTGCAAAAAACGAAAAAATTCTCACTTCTAAACACTTTCTTTGTTAAACCTATGGTGATCACCACTAGGTTCATGAATCAACTTGAGGATAACCAACCATGAGAGAAGGAGGTTGTTCCTCCACCAACCAATCCTATCCCAAACGCGGAGCAGATGCTGGAGACTATGCAACAGCTTGTGGCCTAGAACCAACAGATCTTGCAACTAATGCTCGTTGGGCAAGAAGAAGCACAGTCTGGACCCCAAGTCAAAGGAGCTCCACGCCCTGGGTGTCAAGGAGCTCCCCACATGGGTCCTCTTCATCTGGGCGCCCCCCTTAGGCGCCCCACCCTTAAGAGCCCCCTTGGGTGCCCCACACAAGGGAGCCCCTCCTTAAAAATATGAGCCAGCTCTACCTTCTGCTCCAGATCCTTTTTCCATGGTGGAGACTCTCATTTCTAAGAGGATAAAAGCAAAAATCAAAGCGTGGAGTACGGGAGCTATTTTCCATACAATTCCAAAGGAACGAAAAAATTAAAAAGGTGTAAAATCAACTGGGTGACGTCTCCAATGCTATGAAGGCGTAGAGACCCAAGACAGTGGACTACCTCGTAAGGCGAACTAACGCACCTTTCAAACCTGACGAGGTAAACTACCCACTCCTTCAGAAATTTGAGATGCCATCCATCGAAATCTTTGACGGTACGAAGGATCCACTTGATCACCTTGAGACTTACAAGACTTTAATGCAACTGCACAATGTCCTCGACGAGATCATGTGTAGGGCCTTCCTAACTACCTTAAAGGGATCAGCATGACAATGGTTCACCAAACTCACCCCCTCCTCCATAGGCTCTTTCGCCGAACTGAGCAGATATTTTGTAGCACAGTTCATTGGTGGACGCCACCAGTAGAAACCAGCTACCCACTTGCTTAGCATAAATCAGGATCGAGAGGACAGCCTGAGGAGTTACTTCACTCATTTTAACAAGGAGGTCCTCCAGATTTAGGAGCCCGATGACAAAGTCACCATAATCACCTTCTTGGGAGGACTTCATTCATCAAACTTCCTCTTTTTCTATGATGAAACACCCATCAAAGAGCATGCCAGAATTGTGGGCAAAAGCTCAAAAATACATAAACAACAAGGATGTTACCAAAGCCAAGCGAGGTGAGCCCTCACCATCATCATCACCACTTGTGTCTGACTGTAAAAAAAAAAAAAAAAAGAAGCCACAAAGGCACAAGCATTAAGTGATTTTGTGACTGAGTTCACACCACTTGAGGAGAGAGATTGTCAAGAAGACTCAAAGCCAGAGGCCACCAGTGCTCCTACCCAGGCGCTTAACACCCAGGCGCCAGCACCTCAATGCCAGACACCCAGCCCTCAACATCATGCGCCCAGGTGCCAAGGCGCCTAGCACTCCTCAAGCGCCCAGCCCAGGCGCCTAGCACCTCTCAAGCCCCCAACGTCTTTTAGGCGCCCAGCATCTCAGGCGCCAGGCCCCAAGATGCCCAGCTACTTAGCGTTCTCCTCATCTGCATCTATTGGAATGAGCCTCCGGCTTAGTGATCCTCCCATCGGGCTAACCCTCAAATTTGCCTCTGTTCTCAAATAGATAGCCTATTTGCAACTGAGTGGCTCCCTCGCGGATCACCAAAAACTTGGCCTCTACACTGTTCTCAAATAGACAGCCTACATATCCAACTTAGCAACTCTCTTGTGAGTTGTCAAAAGCTTGACCTATACACTGTTCTCAAATAAGCAGCCTATATATCCAACTTAGCGGCTCTCTTACGTGTTGCCAAAAGCTTGGCCTCTGCACTGCTCTCAAGTAGGCAGTCTATCTCCAACTAAGCGGATCTCTTGCGGGTCCCCAAAAGCTTGGCCTCTGCACTATTCTCAAATAGACAGCCTATATATCTAGGTTAGCGGTTCTCTCGTGAGTTACCAAAAACTTGGCCTCTGCACTGTTCTCAAACAGAAAACCTATATATCTAGTTTAGTGGCTCTCTCGCGAGTCCCCAAAAGCTTGGTCACTGCATTGTTCCCAAACAGGTAGCCTATACCTCAAGTTTAAGGACTCTCTCATGGATCGCCAAAGTCTCGGTCTCAAAAGGTGTAGCTTTCTCACGAGCAATCCTTAAACTTTGTCATTGCTCTCATGCAAGCAGCTTGCCTCTCTCTCTCTCTAGGTAATCATATTAAGATATTTTGATGTGAAAATAACACTATTTTTGCCATCTCTAGGCACACTTTTGAAACTCAAGCCCTCTGTAACCCGATGGACTACATTACATTGAATGTCAACAATCGGGCCTCATCATTTTGTGTCCATCCGGCACTGCTGCCTTGTTGTTGTAGCACTTTTATGCTTAACACCTAGCCCAAACAAGGCTTGCCAACTTTTCTAACACTAAGGGTCTGGCACCTACTCCTCTGCCTGTGCTTGTCCCCAAATAATACTCCTCCATTGTGGTCAGCAAAGTCGCCAGCCTTCGCTGCCAAGCATAACTCACCT